GACAAAAGTAATCAGTTTGTATGCTATCTAGGAAAGAGATGACATTAAAATTTTGTGAGTTGTATGTTAAGAAGGTTGATTTGGGAAATAGACCAAACACCTATTTTAACAAATAAGGTTGGCAAAATATAATAAAAATGTTTAAGACACGAGAAGATAATACGATAGAATGCAATTTAAAAACAAATGGGTTCAGTTAAGAAAAGACTGAAAAATATAGAAAGAACTAAAACGAGGATCCACATGCTTGGGTTAGGATCCTATAAAGAGAACCATTGATGCTTCTAAAGAATGGTGGTCCAAGAGATTAGATGTGAGAATGTTTGAAACGTAAACTCATTTAAATTTTTTAAAGTTTTCATTGATCATTTTAAGTTTTAGTAATTGATTTGTAGGTCGTGCCAACTGCGAAAAAATTCAAGTTCATTGACGTTGACATTGAGCTAGAAGACAAGTTTGATCTTATGTTCGGTGGAGTGGTCGCCACCGATGATCAAGCATGGACAAGAAACAAGAAAGGAAACGGAGGCAGATCCGAGAATTTAGAAAAGAAGCAATTGCTGGGTCCAATGAGGGGTCCAACCCCAACCTAAATGAAGTAGGTTATACTAGTCAATCCGAACGTCCAAGGGTAGAGAAAAAGAAAAAAGATAGTGTTGAAGTGTTGTTTTCATTAGAATTCATATCTCCCAATTAGTGGCTTCATGCACCAATGAGCCTAGCGGATCACATGCAACTTCTATTCAACAGATTATGTGAATTCTGAAAGATACTCCATAAATTTATGAGGACATGTTGTTTTACTTGTTCTTCATGAAGTTATTAGCAGACCCGACCAGGAGAGAGCTTTTATGTCAATGAAACCTAACTGTAGGATTAATTACTTACACTATTACTATGATAATTGGGATGCGTGAATTTCATATTATTTGGTGGACATCTTTATGTGAGATTTTAACCATGGGCATTACTTTTATCATGTTTGGATTTTGTTTTTTGGACAATTTCAATGCAGTTCTTGCACTAGAGTGTTATTTATATGCTATTATTTAATGGTCAATGCAACTCTTTCAAATTCAAAGTTTATTTTTTAAGTACTAGTTGAATAAACAATGAATATCATGGATAGAGAAAGCTGCAAGAGAAAAATCACAGCTGCATTTTGTTTAATATACAAACATTACAACTCATATATTGCTCGATCTCCTTGCGTGACATCTATATACATAGGCGATAAGTGGGTTAGGGAGTTGCTCATGGGTCACTCGACAAGATTTAACATGTTCTGTATAACAGTTTATTTTTATTTATCTATTAGAAGAATTGTACATAAATCATGAACTTCGTGACTTATCCAGGATGACTTCAAGAGAGGTGTTTACAATAATCCATTTATATTTTATTACAAAATGAGTCAATGAGATGTGTTATGGGGCAATTCCAACACTAATCTGAAACAATCAACAGATATTTCTCAGTTGGGCTACATGCTCTGATCAGGTTATCATCAAAAGTTATTGTACCTAAAAACCCCATATTCAAAGCACACTTGTATAAATTTCACAAAACCAGTGTTATATGTCATATTTTAAGGTAGTTTTTTGTGTTCATTTTTCTCTAAATTTACTTGAACATAGTATCTCTAATATATTTAATAATTTTTTTAGAATTGCATTAGAGTGATTGATGAAACACATGTGGATGTGCATCTGCCCAACAATTAAAAAATTACATACATTGGACGATGTGGTTCAGTAACCCAAAATGTAATGGTTATATGTGATTTCAATATGTGTTTCACATTTGTAATTGTCAGATGGAAATGCAGTGCACACGACACATATTTTTAATTTTGCTACGCAAACTACGCAAAACTCAAAAGTATAACTTTTCAAATCCAGCGCCAAGTTAGCTTAAATATTAACAAATGAAATATTAATATCTCGTGCAATATTGATATAAATATTGCATCCGAGAAATATTATTAGGTTGATGTTTGATATCCATTACGAAGAAGGTCTCAAACCCTTTCCTGATACCAAATATCATATTCCTGATTTCGAGAGCTAGTTATGTCACTTGAGGTAGAAATGAGATGTTTAAAAAGAGACACTTATCCTTAGGTGGTGTCAATGAAATGACATTTGGAGTTCAAAAGAAGAAATGGATCATACTGCGGGATATGCTGATAAGGTTGTAAATGTGTTGAGCTTGAGCGAGCTCAGGCTTGACTCGTGTTCGACTCGTTCGAAATTGCTCGTGTTCGAAATTGGCTCGTGAACAATATGTTCTTGTTCGACTCGATTTAAATATTCTTGTTGATGTTCGGCTCGTGTTCGGCTCAAAAGTGGCTCATAAGATTAATTGGAAAAAATAGATGTAAAGTGTTAGATTCAAACTTGGACCAAATCTATGCAAAATAAGGCGCGTAACAACATTACCACACAAGCTGTTATGATTTAAACTTAGATACAAATATTTATAATATATTATTATATAAATAATATATATGATATATTATTATATAAATAATTATATGATTTTATTTTTATTTCGAGCTAAAGCGAGCCAAACATGAGTGAACAAAAGAGTTGTTTGTGTTTGGCTCGTTTACAATTCAAGCTTAAAAAAATTATTCGTGTTCGACTCGTTTACATAATGAAGGAACCGAACACAAGCTACTTACTTAATGAGCCAAACACGAGTTGTTCACGAACAACAAGCTTCTTTGAAAGCTCTATATGCCGACATATCTATTTTCTAAACAAGTGCAAATTGTGGTTGCCAACATGGCTCTCCAAAACTATATTAGGCAACATCCTTTGCGCAACGACGTTGACTTCAATAAGGCTGATGAAGATCATTCACATGTCCCTGTTGAAGCATATGAATTTCGCCTAGGACAATCTTTATCATGGGCTGAAAGTGATTTGTCTGAAACTTGCACCCAAGATGGGGAAGGTGCAGGGGAGATGATAGACTTGGGAGTGAATTACAGATGTCATAGTTTGAGGCTGAATGGAGGGATTGTTTGTTTTTTTGTTGCTACTTTATTTGCAATGTTGTGTAAATATTTATTGTTTTTTGTATCAATGTTTTGATGCAAATGATGTATATTTTTAATCTTAATTTATTTTCAATTTTTATGCATATATTATTTCCCACTTGGATGACCAATGAGTCAGTCGTGGATATAATATGTAATCTAAATATTGCATGTTTTATTTTTTTTTATTTTAGAGGTCTATGATGATAAATTCGACTTGAAGGGTTCTTCTGAATTTTCTATATGTTACTATTAGTTTTTGACACAAGTGAAATTTCAATGAAGGCAACCAGGTTCCTCTACTTTTCAGTCTTATGGCTTTTGAGGCACTTATGGTGGCTTTTTTTAATGATATGCATATGTGACAAATAAGACCTTAGTATTTATTTGGTTTAAAGGCAACCAAAAATCCTTTTTTTATAAAGTTTGATGTCTTCTTGTAGTGATAGCATTAGTTTATACCATGCTCTCTGAAACCTATCAGTTTCATAAAACTTGAATTGATTAATTATATTATTGTTTCACTCATGGTGCATCTAAGGTTTCTGTGTTGTGTTGCTTTAAATCTTCTGAAAAGATGAGCTTGAGGACTTTTACCTCTAGAGTATTGTATTGCCACTGTGAACTACAATGTTCTCTACTTATTTTGTGACAACCACATAGTTACGGGAGACGGTTTTATAGGTGTCTGAGAAGAAAAACTAAAAGTTGTGACTTCTTCAGGTGGGTGAACGTATTGGAGGATTCCACCGCCGATAGTGATAGGGCGTGGAGAGTTTCCTTGAAGAACAACTTTTCTTGTGACATAAACCAAGTATATTTTAAAAACAATATTATCATATTATTAATTATTATTTTAATAGTCATTTTTTAAAAATTTTGATTGTCGTGTGACTCACTATTTTGTGAGATGGTTGTTTTTATTTATAACATTCAAACTAGATATTTGATTTCAAGTATGGAATGTGCTAGCAGGATTTGTTCTGTTATAAGCACTCTAGTATAGGGGCAGAAAAGTAATTTGTTTTGAAACAGTTGCAGCACAGCTGTTTCAAAATTATAAAAAACAAACAGACAGTCAATTTCTATGTAATAGCTTCCAATCACAGCTAGCGCGCAACAACTTCTTAACAAGTTGCAGCTGCCCCAAACAGACCCTAGAAAGATAAGACATAGATAGCAGATAAATCAAATAAGTAAATGTTATAATATTGAAGGTTGTGGATTTAACCATAAAAAAAATTTGTTGATGTTATTAGCTTTTTAAAATAATATAAACTATTTTTGTTTAGAATTAAAATGTCCTAATGAATTATTTTTATAAGGAGGATTTTTAACTGAAATGACCTGGCAAATATTTAGAAAATAACTATGCATATATTTACATTCTTTGCTTCTCAGATTTGAGAATTTGAGCATCTTTTACTAATTTATATATCCATCTACTGTTTAGTAAGGCTTGTTTGACTCTTCTTACAACAACATTGTATGACAAAATTATTTCTGTTGCTAAAGTCTTTACAATTTTGCACAAATTTATATCCTGTCTTGCTGGAGTGTTTAATAATGTTTTGTTGACGTCTTTATTGATGTGTTGTTGAAGTTTTTATTGATGTGTTTTGTAAAAATAATGTGACGGTGTTTTTCTTATGAGATGTTAAAGACTTGAATGTTATGCATGAAAATATGAATATTTAGACGTTTGATACATACGTATATTGACAATACATATAATATCTATATAATATATATTGAGAGCTATTACAAACATTAATCCATATGTAGCATTTTAAAAATAGTATTTTTCAAAAAAATCAACTGTTTCTAAAACACCAGCATCAGAACACTAGATTTTCTACAAAACTTTTGAATTGAGATTTCGTACTGCCACGGCCGAAACAAACCCATCCTCGACCTTAGAAAAACAGCTTTCTTTTTCATAAAATAATTTTAAAAAAAAAGGATTGCCATCAACCAATAATCTATACTGGCATGTATTCCAGATGAAGAAATATTACCTATGTTCTTCATTTATAAAGAGAACGACGTAAATGCATGGCCCCCTTTTTTTCTTCTCCGCACATCTCAGTCGTGGACACGTGTAATATTTCTTCGTTCCAGAAAGCTTTGCAATAGGTAGCCAGCCAGCAACTAGCAAAAGTACTTGAACCACATTATATTCAAGATCTTCTCCGTTTCTTTTTATAAACTCCCATAAGTCCTAATCTTTTTCTTTTGAGGCTTATTCCTGGACAGCTTAGACAGAATTGGAAGCAAACACTCTGGGCAATCCAAATGACCTTTCTTTCCATATGTAGCTTTCCAAAATTCTATTGTTGTGTTTCCAATAGGAAGGTAAGGGTGATCAACGGCTGCTCGGAGGGAAGGTGCCAGAACTCTGAGAAGGGTGGAATCAAAACTGATGGCTGGATGGCACCCTTGCAAACAGCTTAGAGTGTTTGTCCAGAGACAGTACAGTAGATGATTAAGTCTTCCTCGTATGCCTTTAGAAAGGGGTTCACAAAATGAGAACCACTGAACCAAAGGGTTGGAAATTACCTGCAAATTGAGATTATTTTCAACCAATAATCTAAAAGCCTTATAAAACTAAAAATTTTCGTGTTTGTTAGCTGTTTGAGTGAAGATGATGGCGCATTGGATAAGAAAAAAATCATATACAAACCTCTAAGAGCATAAAAACATCTTGCTTCAAGCAAAGATTGCTAGCTAACCTAATATGAGCAGTAAAAACCCTGCAGCTCACATAAAATAAACAAATGAGAGCAATATATAGGCAGCAGCAGTGACCTGTCATCATCTTCGGGAGCAACTGCTAATACCATAACAAAATGTCATAAAACAGCTACCTGCAAATCATCTCAAGTCCACATTGCTGGTTTATCTTCAAAATAGTTAGTGATATTCCCAAGAATCTGTAGTATGCAGCACAACTGTTATATCTAAGATACACAGGGTAATGCATGCTTTGAGATGTGCGAGAACAACTGGTTTTAGCAACCAGATATACCAAGCTTTTTTCAAATTGAATGAAGGTGTGAAATTTACCTTCCAAAGAGAACCAAAGTGTTCTTAATTGTGCTGAAGTGAATTTCTGGCACACCTAATTCCAATTGTAAGCTTTCCATATCCAATGGCTTAATATGAACCAAAATGCAAATTAGCATTTCAGAAAAAAGTAAGAATGAATCAATGTTCTCAGAATTCTCGGCAAGTATTTTTTTTTCATCAAGCACCTTTATTAATAATTCACTTAAACCATTAGAGAAATCATTCTTAGATGACTGAATGCATTCATTTGATTGGTTGTTCAAAGAACCAAAAAGGGTGTTACAAACTTCTACTAGTGTTTCCAACAGAAGATCTCTCTGTGAAAAAATCAAGCTTAATCTTGAGCGATCATCATCCATACTTTTAGGACAACAAAGAACGAATGGGTAGCAAATGAAACAATAAAGAACAGCATGCGTCGGATTAGGCCCCTCTGCTTTCGAGACTGGCATAACAAAAACCTTGTCCATGTTCTTCATTAGGTCCTTTGCAATGATTCTCCACATCACCAAAGAGCTCAACTTCGCATTGAACGGTTTGCTCAGGTGTACATAAAGGAAACAAACTATCGTATGTAAATTGACTGAAGGGTTCAAAGAAAAAATAAACTTATGCGGAATTGCCAGAGGAATACCATCCTTTTCTGAGAAATGTAAGACAAAGTGAGCCAGCATACATAAAAGCAAATATGTAGTGTAGATCATTGGAGAAACCATGTCCATATAACTCACTGAACCTTTACCCATGGCCTGAAAAAATGGACAGCAAGTAACTTCTGATGATTTCCCGTCTTTAATGTACAAGAAGTCCAAGGTAATCAGACAATGAGGAGAAGCTAGCAAAAAACCCAATTCTTCTCTAACAATTTCTACAGACTGAAAAAGCATCCACAACAAATCATTATAATGATTCCAATCATTTATTGAAGATATGTCTTCACCAAACTCTTTAATGAACTTTAAAATGGTGTTCAAGCACAGCTGGATGATATGACAATGAACACTTGGCCCTTTTGTTTCAGATTTGACCCCATGTATAACAGATTTGAAAATCTTCAGGGAAGAGCTGAGAGCGAAGGTTCTGATTTCAGGGTCTTTTTGTGTTGTCAGACAGTGACTGACAATTGTTCTAATTATCATTAGAGAAAAATCTAAATCGCTAATCTTCCAGGGTATCCATTTAATGGAATTGATCCAAGGGAATCTACCACTGAAATAAGATAGGAGAATGTCATTTTCATTTGTAACATCGCATGGGCACCTTGTAGGAACCAAATTCATCCCCTTGGACGTGGCTATCCCAGAGATATATTGATCAAACAATTCCAGGCATGGTTTCCACAAACAAATATTTTCATTAGAAATTTTCTTGGAAAATACCATTTTAGTCATAGGTCTGAAAGTAGTCTGTAAAATTGAAGGATGGTTAACTAAAAGGTCAAGCTTATGCAGGAGATAGTGCCATGTGTTGAGACACGACATTTGTACTATAATATCACATTTCTTTGATATAATGCCTTGCAGGGGCACCATTAAGACAGCTATTCTTCTAAGCAAGTCTTTATCAAGCTCACCATTACTTCTTTCTGAAATTCTACTGCAGTCAGGAATCTTTTCTTGATAAACAGCTTCTTGAACTATATTTATTTCAGAGGGCGGGAATGCATCGATCAGATGCTCCCAAGCAACCTGCATAATCATCTAATTGTTCAAAACATAAATGAAGCATGCTTTTGGTTGTAGCAAGTTACTATAAAATTAATGCAATAGTTCCTGAAAGTGTGGCATTATAAATTTAAATATATTGGCATAGCTTTAGAAAGAAAAGCTAGATCCTAGGTTCTAAGAGTAGAAGACTAAGACCTCACTAAAATGAGGTCAACAGCATCATAAACAATCTAAAGAAACACAAATGACAAACAGCTCTCGAGCATAAGCATACCATTTTGCATGCATGCATCAACAATCTAAAGAAACACAAATGACAAACAGCTCTCAAGCATAAGCATACCATTTTGCATGCATGCATCATTAAACTATTTAATACAGACTACAATAGCATGTCAATCAATAGCATAATGGCAGGTAATATCACTATGCAAAAAAAAAAGGCAAGCCCAATTTCATTATCACAGCAATTAATCAACTGTATTCATCTAACATAGGTAGGCAATAACTTAAACACCCATTCAAATGATCTATACTGACGCAGGCTTTGTTTAGCGCCCTGGCGGGGGTGCTGGGGGAACGCGGGGACCAATCCCCCATGATTTATCGCGAACGACCAAACCCAGCCGCGAAGCATCGAAAAAGAAGTATCGCGAAGGCGGGATCGCGATTTCTTGCAACCGTAGGATGCACGTGAAGGTTAATCACGAACCTTTGGTGTCAGTCTTCATATAGAAAGTTTTAATAGCTATTTTTCTAAATTTTTCTTGCCTTCTCACCCTCTTCTTTTGTTTAGAAACTTCCTCCGTTTGAGGGAGCCTATAAATTGATGTCTTCTGTGTATGGGGAGTCAATTTTGGTTGCGTTTATTCTCAAACTCATGTGTGAAATTCTTTGCCCTGTTGTATCCGAGGAGGTGAAGGTGCTCTAGTTATATCCTCTCCGATGTGGTGATTTTAACCTTCCCTTTTACCTTCCCTAAACCTTCTCCTCCCCACTTCTCATTCGTCGAACTCTCCCCCCTTCACCAACACCCTGTCGTCCCCTTTCCTACAAGTTATTACTGTTGTCTAGCCTTCCCACCCCACTGCCCGCTACCAACCACCTACAACCCTCCCTACTTGTTGTCCCTACAGTTCCGTACCTTCCCTTCGTTGTCGTCTGCCTCCCGTGGCTGCCATTATCACTTCTAATCATCCCTATCTGACCTCCACCACCCATTGGGATACATTTAGAAGTGTTTGCTCGTGTCATCTATGTTTTGTATTGTTGTGTTGTGTTGTAAACCTATTAATCTAAATTTGTTTTTGTGTTTCCACTGTTGTTTCTACTTGTTCCAGTATCATTTGGTATCAGAGCTAATCAATCCCATCCTAGGGTTTCTAAGCATCTGTCCCTACCCAAGCCACCTCCATCAAATTTTTCCTTCCTTTTCCAACCCTAGCCATGCCACCGCAAAGAGATACGCAGGACTTGACCCAGGAAGAGATTTAACGAGAAATATGTTGTCTACAACAGTAACTTGCAAAGCTGGATGACGGAATCCAAAAGAAGGTTACCTTTGACCGTTATTGAGAAAGTCAAAGAGAAGACAGGGACGAGGAGATGAATTCATTCCACAGAAAAGATCACAGTGACAAGGAATATTGACCACACCATTTTGGTATCTAATATCAAAGAAGGCTGAGAAAAGAGATCCCTTATGGAGGTCAGCGGGACTTTGGCATCAAGATGGACCTCTCAGAATTTGAAGGTATGGATCTCGAAGAGTTTATCAACTGGCTGCAATCAGTTGAATGGATTTACGAATATAAAGATATACCAGAGGACAAACGAGTCAAGCTAGCTGCCATTAAACTGAAGAAAAATGCCTCTTTATGGTGGGAAAATCCACAAAAATTGAGGAAAAGAGAAGGCAGTGAGAAGATAACTAGGTGGGAGAGGATGAAGAAAGCAATAAAAAAAGTACCTCCTACCCCACTGTCGCCAAGATATGTTTTTGAAACTCCACAACTTGTAGTAGAGCGATCTTTCAGTTGACGAGTTTACAGCCCAATTCGACCACTTGCAGCTTAAATGCAAGCTAACAGAGCTAGAAAAACATACGATAGCCAGATATCTCGGGAATCTGAACCTGCCATCAGCAATGTGCTACAGTTGTAGCCATACTGGACACTGGGGGATGTCCAAATATTAGCATTGAATGTGGAAAGACAACAGAAGCAGAGTCGACAACAATCATCTTTCAAGCAGCAACCTTCAGGCAAATTGTCACCTACAATTACCACGATCGATAAGGATATCCGAGAGACTTGCAAGCCCAGACAGGGGAACAACGCTAGGGATCAAAATAGAAGGAAGCAAGAGAATGGTAGCTCATCCAACACGGTACCAACCAGGAAGTGCTACCAATGCCACGACTACGGCCACAACCTCCACCTACCCCACGAATAGGGTAGTCACACTCATAGATCAAGGCGTTGTAGAAGAGATAAGCGACGAGGAGTACCAATTCCCACTAGGCGTTGTAGAAGAGATAAGCCGAGAAACAGGATGAGGTGTATCAACTCCCACTAGACAAAGAAGAAACGCTCGTGATTCAAGGATCTTGCATATTGAGGAGAAAAGGGATTTGCAATGGCTTCGCTGTAGCATATTTTACACTCATTGTATGGTGAACGGAAAAGTATGCAGTCTAATCATCAACGACAAAAGCAGGAAGAACTTGGCATCCAAGGGCGGAACCACCCTTATTTTTCAGGAGGGGCAAACTTATCATATAATTCAAAGCAAAATTTGTGTTAGATATGTAAATATATAGAAATTGGGTGGTAAGTATGTAAATACCTAAAAAAAAATCAAAGTTGAGGTTGTCGCTAAGGTTTATCATTAGTCCCACATTTCTTAGGGCTTGCTTGACCGCACGACTTGCCTCCTTTCTGTTGCAGAAAACATCAGGAGAATGTCGGAAGGGCGTTTGGCCGACGAGCTTTAGAAAAAGTGTATACCAAAACGGCGAAATTTGTCGTTTTCAGATCACGAGGAGGTTCCTCCGTTCCGGTGTTGTAGACTGTGTCCTTCGTTTCGGTGCTACAAAACGGCGAAATTTGTCGTTTTCAGATCACGAGGTTCCTCTGTTCCCGTGTTGTAGACTGTGTCCTTCGTTTCGGTGCTCCGCCTCGCTATCAAACGAAGCCTTTATTCAAACATCCATGGCATTTTAGTGACCGGAGCATTTTAATGGAGTTTTTCTACTCGTAGCTTTTAAACCAAATTTTGCCAATGGCAACGCAGGCTCAAACGAGGCCTTAATAAAAATTTTGATTGTTCTTTAGATTAAGAAATCATAAGTCCAAGTGACAATTAAGAGTAGCTTGGGCATGCAGTTTGGATTTGATTAAGTATTTGATATGCTTTAAGGTAAATAATATATAGTTTTCAATTGGAGGCCAGCTGCAGGACTAGGTGTGGTGTGACGTGGTTCCCAGAATGTCTACCACCTTTTGTTGGGACGACCATGACAGTTTGATCGGAGGACTCAAGGTAATGGATATAGAAACAAGTATTCTTTCACCAGAGATGAGAAGCACATCACATTGTTTTTTTTCGACGGGGCCCTAGGTCACATGATCTCTTATTAGTAGAGCAGCATCAATGGAATCAGATTTATGGGTGACACAAGATTAGTGAACCGAGATATCGACTCCTAACACGGGACAAATACGATAGAGAATTTTTCAGGGCCTCACAATCGATACAGTATCGCCAACTCCACCACAAAGTGTGAGGGTTCTGGCCACTCTCATGTCCCACAAGATTGAACTGTCTGTGAGCTATTTTGAGAAATTTCAACAGTACGTGCGAGACACGCAGTCCCAAAAGATGGGAATGAGGTGAATGTTTGTTCGTACATGGGAGAATACCCTCGGGTACCTTTGGAGACAGCGTAGTCGCAGTGAGATCCAAAGATGGTTGACGACAAAACGGAAGTTTCGACCTCCCCCAACCCTAGGAGACTGATGTGGGCGTTGTTTAGCGCCCTGGCGAGGGTGCACGAAAAACATGAGACTGATCCCCCATGATTTATCACAAAAGACCGAACCCAACCGCGAAGCATCGAAAGAGGGAAGTATCGCGAAGGCGGGATCGCGATTTCTCACAATCGCAGGAAGCGCGTAAAGGTTGATCGTGAACCTTTGATGCTCGTCTTCATATAAGAAGTTTTAATAGCTATTTTTTTGGATTCTTCTTGCCTTCTTACTCTCTTCCTTTGTGTAGAAGCTTCAACCATTCGAGGGTGCTTATAAATTTATGTCCTCTATGTGTGGGGAGTCAGTTTTGGTTGTGTTTGTTCTCAAATCCTGTGTAGAGTTCATTCCCTCTTATGGGTTGTACACGAGGAGATGGTGGTGCTCCGGCTATATCCTCTCTAAGGTAATGATTGTATCCTTCACTTTTTAGCACGAGTCGACCTGGAGCTTGGAATTAACCAAGAAGGGAATAGACAGTCGGACGATAGGAATTAAATTTTCTATATTCGTCTACAATTTAACAGATGAAAGACCACTATAAATTAAATTAAAATGGTATAATTAAAATTACCTTGTTGATGGTTGTTCACGTCTTCTATAAACGTTTTCCCGTCTATTGCTCATCTTTTAATAATTTAATTAAACCTCATAAAGTTAGTTAAAACAACTGTGAGTTAAACGAGCTAGTAAATACTCATATTTCTAAACTAAAATAATACGGGGAAAAAAAGAATAATATGAAGCTTCTTTATAAATTAATATAAACATTTAATATGTTATTCGTAGGAAACTATATCATTATCATATCAATATCATTTCATATATATACAATTGTCACAGGAGACAACATCTAAAAGTTTGTGTTAATCAAAACACATTAATATCAATATCATTTTCCATTTAAGTGAACGGGTACATTAGTGTTCTTCCACTAATATCATTCAAAAATGTTTCATCAAAGTTAGTCATGCACATACCAACAGTCAACAT